AGTAGCAACTACTAAAATGTACAGCCCTTGTAACTTGTAGAGAAAATAACGAAATAATACAGATATTAACATTCCAAACATTTCAAATAATAGGTCAAGAAGAAAACGACTGGAATGAGTGATAACAGCTGCTGGACTTGAGAAGTGGTTGGTTGGTTGTTTTGTTTTATGGCATATCAAACTCAGTGGGTCATTTAATGCCAACAAAATTTTTAAAATTTCATGCATAGCGACAGTTTGGTAAAAAAGGCATATATATAATGGACAAAGTCCGACAAGTATTTTAAGACATTTTTATGTTTATACATTCTTTTTATAGACACAAATATTTAAGTAAATGTTCTGTTTGTAATAAACAGTATTAAACAACATTTACCGGCCTGAATGTACGAGAAATTTTCATAGAAAATATTCGTCCTCCGACAGGATTCGAACCTGTATCCTATATGGAACCATCATTGAGCTTGACGTGCTTTCACCGATTTGGCCACGAAGGAGCGTTCGGTTAGCAAGGTCAAATTTGCTGTATTTAAACTTCAATCTTCCATGAATCTCTCACGTACATTCATATCTGCTCATTGCCTATCAAATGTAAACAAATAACGTCACACATTATGAAATGGACAAAGTCCCGCAATTATTTTTTAAGACATTTTTATGTTTATACATTCTTTTTATAGATACAAATATTTAAGTAAATGATCTGTTTATAATAAAGAGTATTAAATGTCCGAGAAATTTTCACAGAAAATATTCGTCCTCCGACAGGATTCGCACCTGAATCCTATATGGAACCGTCATTTAGCTTGACTTGCGTTTACCGATTTGGCCACAGAGGAGCGTTCGGCTAGCAAGGTCGAATTTACTGTATTTAAACTTCAATCTTCTATGAATCTCTCACGTACATTCATATGTACTCATGGCGTATCAAATGTAAACAAATGACCTCACACATTATGAAATGGACAAAGTCCCGCAATTATTTTTTAAGACATTTTTATGTTTGTACATTCTTTTTATAGATACAAATATTTAATTAATGCTCTGTCAAATGATTCCTTATAAGGTAACGATTAACGTGACTATAACCATTCTAGTTTTGTTACCGTTCGCAACAACATATTTAAATGTCTGGCTTTTCTAAATATGTTAGTTAACGTTGTATTTTTATGATGGGATTCATTCGACGAATACCTGGATACATTAAGACAGTCCATTCGAATTTTGTTGCCGTTCGCAACAACACATTTAAGTGTCTAAATGTATCAGCAACACTATCGCAACAAAATAGCTGCAGTCGTGGAAATTTGAAATCTATTATCTAGAATCAAAGCAAATTTGCGGCGTGGACTGAAGCCCAAGAAGCAACAGATTTCACCGCATCAATATTTCATAATAGGTAATAATATATTGTTTTCAGAGCAGGTGCAAATTCATTAGAATTGAAAAAAAACCCCAAAAAAACAGGGTTCTTTTATTTTAACTTTTCAACTTCAGTTTCTTACTTATCTGAATACAGTGCTGTTCGATAAAAGTGAATCACCTGGTTTTTTTTTACTAAATGCTCTCTTTGATGAAACGAAAGTTGAGCTAAATTCAAAGGATAAGCGATCGAAAATCCGAAAAAGAAGCTTTGAAAGCTCTTTGAATTTAGCAATAAGTACTGTCAAGCATCCGTTCAATGTAATGTTCTGGGGATGCTTTTCTTTTCATTTCATGGAACTGGTTTCGTAAAACCTATTGAAAAGAACCTCAGGAGCGAGCAGTGCAAGAGAATTTTAGAGTCTTGTCTGCTTCCTTCTGCTGAAAGGGTGCAAATCGACCCCACCAAGCTCATTTTTATGCAGGATAATGCTCTCTGTCACAAATCAAAATTGATGAATGAATACTTTAATGAGAAGCAGGTGAGTGTTATGACATGGCCGCCCCAATCTCCTGACCTCAACCCCATAGAAAACTTTATGGAGCATTATAAAATACAGGCTCTCGAGAAAGCAGTTGAGCAACAAAGAAGATTTGATTGTAAATTTCATATCCGAATGGAATTCAATGCTTGGAGATGAGATTTGCCAGAACCTAATCAAGTCAATGCCAAAAAGTGGTTGAAAAGGTTATTCAAAAATAAAGAAGGACCCATAGATTATTAAATATATGGAACTATATTACCTATTATAAATAAATTATACCTCAATTATTCTTTATTTAAAGCTGTTCGGTTATGTTTCTATTGATTACTAGTTGCAGGAAATAAGGGAGTCACTTTTTTTGCTCAGAGATTTCCCCTAAATCTCATTTATATCCAAAATTATAATTATCAATAGAATAACTTAGGGCGAGTAAACTTTTTTACTAGGTGGTCGGGAAGGGGTCTTTATACTAGTATGATTAAAAATTAGTTTGACCCCAAAAACAATAGTAAAAAAAAATCAGGTGAATCATTTTTATCGAACAGCACTATATATATATATATATATATATATATATATATATATATATATTATTTTTTTATATTAAAAAAAAAATATAACATAAGTATGTTATAAAATCACTACAAAAATAGCCATTTTGTTTCAACACACTCTGTTAGGTAGGTATTTTCAACATCATCACTTGATAAGAAATATAGTGTGTTGAAAGAAAATGGCTATTTTTGTAGTGATTTTATAACATACTTATGTTATAATTTTTTTATATAAAAAATAATTATATCTGCTCTACTTTTGTATTGAGCACTCTTTTAAGAATAGGAATTAGTAGTAGGTTATTGGAATTCATTCCGTATATACCATATATATATATATATTGGATATATATATATATATATATATATATATATAGTAAAGGTAATAAATCCGTTGGTATATAATATAAGTTGATACTACTAATATGAAATATTAAACTGATCCAAAAAGATCTCTATGTATTTATTATTACAGAGCAAATAATTAATAAAAAAATAAAATCAAAAATCACCTCATACGGGAAATAAGCTTATTTCCTCAGACGAAAATATAAGTCGCCTGTCTTATCAACCTCGGTATAGACTGAGTTCCTGTCAGAAATAGAAAATTAACTGTGAAAGCTAAAAAAAAAGTACAAAAAAGAACAGTCGAAAAAAACTAATAAAAGAATATATGCATTATATATATATATATATATATATATATATATATATATATATATATATATATATATTATCGTTCTTATAATTCACTTTTTGTTTCATTTATATCTTATCCAGTTTACGATACAAACTGTTTTCTTTATAACATATGTACGTAGATTGTAATGTATATTTATATTTTATAGATCAGCTAAAGCATTTAATAACTTAAAGCACACATACCAAATTGAACTGCTAAGAAAACGAGATATATTTCGGAAAGATGTTAGAATAATCCAGATTTAACAACTGAGATCAAAACGCCTGTATAAAGATAAAAAGGAATTGAGTAGATACGCAAAAATAGAAAGGGGCCAAAGACAAGGATATGTCTTCTCGCCGGATTTTTTGTCAGCCTTTTCAACATGGCTATCCAAATGCAACCTACCAGGCTTTATTATTGGTGGACCTAATCGTAGCAATATAAGATACGCAGATAACGCTGTGTTGATGGCTGACACACGACAACTACAGGACTTCCTAGACAAGGCAGTAAAGGAAAGTGGGAAGAAAGGACTAACCATCAAACCATCAACTGTAATAAGACAGAATTTATGATTGTCATCAAACGTAGTAACACGATATGAAAACTACAAAATGGGGATGTCAAAATAAACATGTTACTTATCGTAGCGATGAACACTAATAGGTATGTCCTAATCCTTATAAATAAGTTGGACACTATTGTAAGTGGGGATAATAAGCTGTCTAAGTAGTCCACCGCTAGCATCATCTGTGTATGAACTTCTGTGTATTATAAACCTAATGTCTTCAGCAACCATTTTTACCAGTGCTCATACTGCAATTTTTGCTGTTGTCATTGCATGTTTTTTACCAGACCCCATATTGCAATTTTCATTATTATTATTGCTTTTCTCTGGCACTCCTTAATAATGGCCCCCATATTGTATTCATTTCTATGCTTGTCGGCTCTATGCTAGGCCACAAAAAACTCCTGGGGAGATTTTTGTGGCCTAGCATGAATACAATCTGGGAAGCAGTAATAAGGAGTGCCAAAAAGCAAAAATTGCAATATGGGCTTTGGTAAAAAAAACATGCAATGATAACAGCAAAAATTGCACTGGTAAAAATGATTGCTGAAGACATTAGGTTTATAATACCTAGAAACTCATACACAGATGTCTTCATGGGCACATGGCTCAGAGGATAAAGGCGTTAGATCCAGTGACAGGACCAAAAGAGTGTGAGTTCAATACCTGGATAAGGCGGTAGAGAACTTGGAGAGGTGAATTAAAAGGAGATACGTGATAACTGACATCCACTAGACATCGCACGGAACTAGAACAGTCTACCCCAGCTGGCGAAATGAAGTGTTCAGCGACATTCCAACTGAAGAAGACTGGAGCGTACAATTGCCGAAACGTTGTAAATAAATATGGCGACAAAGTTGAGGACAATAGTCCGAATAATGTAAATAGTGTATTTCTAAGAAATGAATAGATCTTTTTATTGATAACCCCACATTAATTGTTATCATGATAAATGATTATGTATGTTTAGTGGTCGCATGTGTTTGAGTTGACGTCTAGATATGTAAACGGTTTGATAGCCGTCCAAGACTCGGGTTTTACGAGAGGTTTTTGCAAAAAAAAAAAAAGTTCTTTTTGGTAGGGTTCGAACCCGCGTCTATGTTTCATGTACGTGGAACCACCGTATTGGGGTTGTCAATGGCGTGCTCTTTTAAACTTGGGCGGGCTGACGTACAGGGTGGTCCAAAAGTCTTGTCATTACTATATAATGTAATTTTCTATTTCAGATGACTGACACGTGCTCGTACAGTTTGAAAGAGATGGTTAGGGTGACAAGAATTTCAGACCACGCTGTAGATTGTTCTTTTTCAAAACGTATATTCAGCAGCCATTTGAAGATAAAAGACAGAAAACTAGAAAACCCATTCGCCGCAATGTATACTCGTGAGGATTGGAAAGAAAGAGGCAAGGGAATGCCTGCAATCAGCAGGAACAGAAAAGAAACAGAGAGAGAGAAAGAGAAAATAAAAAATTAAGCACATGTGACCCACCTAATGACAACCTCCACACGCAGACCCCATGAAATGATATCAGTACATGCGTACTTAGAAATTATCAGGCAGAAAGGGGATTTCCACTTGGTCGAAACTTTTCGTGACAGATTAGATTCCACTTTACGGTAACTCTAGTCGTAATCCTCGCCTTACCTTTCCCGGGTAGGAACCTGTGCTCCTCGTCTTGTTTTATTGCAAATACTAAAAAAGTATGAAGGCATTTCTGAATACAGCTGACTCCGACGAAAAGCTAATTGAAAAAAAAAACTGCTAATTCCTCATTAATTTAACTTCTTCCGCGGAACACAGGTGTACAGGAGAATACAAAAATAATAAGCGAATCATATTAGAATAAATCAGATTTACGAAATGATAATATATTACACGTATATTAAATATACTTATATATACGCATATTATGTACATATTACGCGCGCCATTAATGCGATTAACCTAATTGTATTATTAGCATATTTGTATAGCAGGATGACAAAGTGAAAAATGAAAGAATAACAGCAAAAAATAACAAATAGGAAAAGAGGAAAAATATGTAGACCCTGTGACAGAAATAACATTCGTACACTTGTATCACTCTTAGAGTATTTGGTTAACAGAAAGGAAGAATTAAGAATCAGAAGGAGTGGTGACCCGGATGTGATTTTGTTTGACGAGTTGGTTGCTGTTGCTGTTGCTGTTTTCACTGGCGAGATGCGTTTGTGCGCCTAATTTATTTAGTTCCTGACCACGTGATCGTCTCCAAATGGCTTGACGTAATTTGAGTTTTCTCTCGGGTCCAAAAATATATTTCATTTGTTCTTAACTACTTCCGAACTGAATCAATTGGTTGGGCGAAAAGATTTCAGTACATTTTCTATGTAATAGTTTCTTTCGACAGAAAATTTCGTGCAATAAGTGGATCACAGAGATCATAAGGAGACTCTGAACTTATCACGGAAAATAATCTTTTCTGATTGGTTAACAAATATTAAAAAAAATGTTTGTCTATTTAGCAGCCTCGTGCCATGCAAGCAAATTTAAATGTTTGTGGAGATGTTTTCATTCATGCAACCAAACCAAACTAAAAAATATTCTTCTGATCTATAAATAATTCAAGCAACAGGAGAATCGAAAGTAAACGAAGTAACAGTATAAATAAAATCATCGAAAGTTGAGTAATATGGCAAAACAATAGTGACCAAGGTATTTATGAAAAATGGGACATACCAATTAGTGTTCATAGGTACGGTATATGATAGATAGATAGATAGATAGATAGATAGATAGATAGATAGATAGATAGATAGATAGTGTTGTAACCTAGAAAGGGTTACTGAATGAAGAATAACAAAAACGGAAATTGGAAATGAAATAGTAATCTTTATAAGATCAACAAAATAAAATACTCGCCAGCGGCGTGAAGTAGGTAAACCACTTCTAGTAGTGAACTACTTAGACAGCATATTATGATATTTATCTGCCTCCCACGAGGTAGGATGCGGCACAAAGCCAAATTTAATGTGGGGGGTCCGAGACCTTGGGCTCGGGTAATAATTGCCCGTAGACCCCGCATACGCAGGATCTGGTATCTGTCTACCTCCCCGGACGAGACTGCTCTTCGGCATAGTCTCGTCCGGGTTCCTTTCTGCGCAAAGCCAGAGAGTTCGACACGGCAAAGCTTCCCACGCTGACAGCTCACGCTGCCAGCTTAGGCAGCATATTACCCCTCCTCACTTACAATAGTGTCCGACGTATTTATGACGATTGGGACATACCTATGAGTGTTCATATGTACGATATATAACATTTACCCATCAATACTTGTTTGTCAGCATGTATAAATTGGCGAGCTCTCACCCAACACACATGGCTTGAAGATTGCGTTTAAGCATGAAAAATACTGTCGCGATTCATTGTCCACTGTTATATTTAGGCACGCTCTAATCCTGATATTAAACAATTTTATTCACATATATATAGCATAGGTTAAAAGGTTAATTCTTATATATAACGTTTAAGCAGTAAACTAAAAATCTACCAGATTAAGAAATGAAAAATCCATTCCTGAAAAATGTTTTTGTTTACGTCAGGATACGAAACTAAACATAGATGGATATTTTGAGAATCAGACAAAGGTCTGCGCTCAAAATCACTCTTCGGGCTTGGCTTGGCCAGTATGTTCTTTCTAGCCTAGAGTTTAAAGCACAGCAGTTTTACCTAGGGTTAAGCAGGTTCGAATCCTGTCGGAGAACGCATATTTTTCTAATAAGATTTCTCGAATGTTCAGGGCGGTAGATGTAAATAAATATAGTGTTTAATAAATAAACACATCATTTTAATACTTGAATGAAGATATGATGTGTGTGTGTGTGTGTGTGTGTGTGTGTATGTATATATATATATATATATATATATATATATATATGGAGAGTGGGAGAGAGAGGGGGGACAGGAAAGAAAAACGGAGGTGACAATAGAGAGAGAAAAGCAGATTAATAAAAATATGTATACGAATAAAATACCTTAGAAACTGTACCTTAATACGTGGAGCACACCTGTAAACAGAACAGAATTAAGGTGAGCACACCTGTAAACAGAACTTGTGCTGCAGGTAAATTGAAAGATAGTTACAGTTATCCTATATTCCAGAGTGTTGATCTGAGAAAGCGTTGCTAAGTGCTTCAAAACCAATGGTATTATTTACTAAAACATATTTAACACATGAACGAAAATATATAGTAAAAACGCTATTAATGGTTACAAGGAAAGTGTGATTGTCAGGCGTTCAAGTACTTTTTTCCTTACACTCTTAAGCAATAAGGAGAAAACCTGATGTAAAAAAAATCCTCATTAGAACAACCACAAATCAAACACAAAATTTACACACACACACAAACACAAACACACACACATGTACTAGTTTAAAACCCACCCTATCGGTGGAATTTAAACTAGGTCCTGCTGAGGGATCATAATTACCCTTCATCGCAATAGGTACAGAGAAGTAATGCGATAGGCAACAATAAAGCACAAAAGAACTCAGAATTCATCGCTATATTTAAGTATTGCATTAATATTTAAGCCTTTTAAAAGTACAACGATAATTCTTCTGTCGCCACTTAATTTAAAGACAGTTTGATGTACGTAGGTCCTTACTTTCCGTACAGACAATTATTTATATTTCATGGTTGAGTTTTGCTGGATTTCGTAATTAATGTCGATCATACCCAAATTCATTTCCAAAGTATAAAAACATTTATCGTACAAAAAAATTCGTCACAAAATATCAGATGAAAAAAATCGCTGAAAAAATTCACAGTAATGAAAACTTGGGAATCCAGAATTTCAGGATTGTGGGTCTGGATCTGGTCCGGAATGTCTTTAATTTGTTCCCAGAGTTGGACTGATTCCAAAATGGTATTATTCGTTGGGCAACAGCCTCAAGGAGTAAAGTTGAAACCACGGACAATTAGTTTTTGAAACACGGTGATTTGAGAACATTATTTTTGTTCATTTGAACATGACCTATTGAAAGTGAGTTGTGTCCCTTTAATTATTTTCATCAGTAGAAGCCAACATGGCAGAAACTGGAACAATCGCAGTCATGAAAACTTGAGAATCCAAAGTTTCAGGATAGCAGGATACGGCCAAGAATGTTTTTAATTTACTCATAGATTCGGCCTGAGGTTGGGAGTAAAGTTGAAAAAGTGTCACTTGGTGACATACTGACATTCGCATTTATTATATATTATATATATATATATATATATATATATATATATATATATATATGTGTGTGTGTGTGTGTGTGTGTGTGTGCACTTGGACAGTCCCTCTTTTATACAAGTTCCATTAAATTCGACTGACAAGGTACAGCGTATTTAAATTATTTAGAAAAAAAAGAAATAAGTATTGAAACTATTAGTGCGAAACTCTATATTTTAGTCTATCTACTGTAAAAATTATAAAGACTTATGCAGTATTCATAATTAATTTTATTAAGGTTTGGTTTCAAATATTTAATATAGATAGCTTCAAATTAAATTAAATATATACTAAACTAAATCCAGCATGTCTAATTTAATAATTCGTAACGAGTCTTCGCCATCAAGTAATGTATTGCAGAAAACCAACATTATATGTAAATTTAAATGTCTTCTGAAAGATTCTCCAACAGAAAAAATAATATTTATGTTGGCCATACTACGACTACGTTTTCTAGGAGTTTGAGTTCTCATTTGAATGACACGTCTAACATTTCTAAACATTTACAACACTATACCGTTCGAAAATAGACCTATATTTCTTCATGAAAATAATAAACAAAAACTAAAAAATCCTTGATAACATATATATATATATATATATATATATATATATATATATATATATATATATATATATTAAAAATTGAAACCAAACCTAACTATTTTCTATTATTTTCAACAGCAAAGAATAAATTCTTCGGATTTCTTACTTTTGAGCATGTAACATACAACTGGCAATGCGGAAATATTTGTTTGTGGAGCAAAAGTTTGAAGGGTTTGGCCTTGTAATTTGTTTATAGTTCTCGCAAACGCAGGTCGAACTACAAACTGGATTATTGTAGATACAAAAAATAATGATGCATTTTTATTAAATAAGTATTTGATATTTTAAACATTAAAAATTTTATAAATAGTGGGAGTTTTGCAAGTTACATAATTAAAATTTTACCACCAAAATTAAAGAAAATTTATTGTATTAAGCTATGTACCCTAGTAAAACCAACTAGAGTTTGTACCACTTAACTATTTGCATTTTCCCCAAAATTCGGTTTCGATAGGTCAATGTACGGTGAGTTTAGACGGTGTAAAGAACGGACTAATCGTAGCCACATTATATGATAAGTAGTTATGTTTGACTAGGTCTGCTGTCCTTTTGTATTGAGCACATTCTTAGTTAGCTGATTACTCGTATAGGTTTTTTTCTTCTTTTGGCTTTGGACCTGTATGCTGTACGATTATTTTCGACAGATGTTCATGTTCCTAGCTCTTTCTTTATTTAAAACCTTTTTTTCATTCGAAATTGATTTGATCATTAGCAAATCAAGAAACCGAAGGTTTTCGAGACGAGCGTAGTTACCTATATATATATATATATATATATATATATATATATATATATATATAATATATCGCGGTAAAACAAGCACCAAATTTAACATGTAAGTAGTGATGTTTTTCCTGCTTTTCAGACGTAGATCATTTATATATATATATATATATATATATATATATATATATATATATATATATTTAGGTTAGTGGGAAAATTATGTATTAACGCATACGTAGATATAATAATAATAATAATAATAATAATAATAATAATTTATGCTTTCGGCTAACCAACATACACAAAAACACACATTCAGTTAAAATAAAAAATAAGAATCGCCTTTTGGTAATGGCTAATGAATAGCCGAAAGCGCTCGCATATTTGGATATTTTGGACAGATTTAGTCACTTTGTGTCCCAAAAAGTAAACACTTGTAGGAACACAAGAAAAATTAAATAAAAAGCCTAATCGGAATAAAATTTCAGTCGTGTTTAAAGAACCACACACACACACACACACACATATATATATATATATATATATATATATATATATATATATATATATATACACACTATAAAAAAGACTTCATCAGAAAAAAGTGGTGTTACATTTACGTTGATGTGACTACACATGCGCATGAAGTCGAGTGCCGCTGTACTGAAATTATAATTTTTTAAATATATAATTTGGGTATATAGTCTAGCGGAGTCCATATACTTATATATACATACATACATACATATATATCCATACATATATATATATATATATATATATATATATATATATATATATATATATATAATGTTACTTCTACCGAATCCACTGAAACATTAGTAAATGCTGAGCTCTACTTATTATGCGGTAGATCCAAAACTTATTTGCATCTCTCAGATTTGGCACCAAACCAATAACGCTGCTATCATTAACATCCTCTTAGTTATTTTCCCTGATTCTTTCTTTGACTCTCCTCACACCGAGAAAAAAGCTCAGCACTACACTCATCCACACCCACCCACGCACACGCACGCACACACAGACACATCTCTCTCGCTCTCTAATTCTCTCTCAGTCTCTCTCTCTCTCTCTATATATATATATATATATATATATATATTTGTGAGCGTTATAAAAACTGTCAAATACTATATTCACCGGAGAGAAAAATGTTAGAGTCTGTGTGCTCGTTCTTGTTCGTAAACTCCTAATCTGCGATTCTCTGATGAGCGTAAAATGTAAAACTATAAAATAGATCTTAAATTTCGCTCGCAAACTGATCCTCTTCGATGTGTTACATATTTTTCATGCTTTTGACTGAAAATGTATGTCACCAAAAAACACCGAAAACGTACATCATAACAAATCCATCTTGCACGTCAATAAATCTACCATTTGACCGTGCATTCAATATTGCTGCCACCTATGGATCTGTTACTCCTGCTATATATCTTAGGGATTGATAAAATCCAGATTGGAATCTGTGATGCTGACGGTCCTGATCTTGCATCTTGTCTTCAGTCACTGTCCCACCGCCATATACTGATGTTGTTTCGTTCTTGGCACGTCGACCGCATGAATTTATGCGTGCTACTCGATTGGGAAGTGGGTCTCATTGTTTTGCAGGTGAAATAGTTGCAGTTGAAATATACAAAAGTACATTTTTTTCTAATCGTTTCTTTTCTCAGACTTCTTAAATGCTGATCTCTTATCAGGTTTCTTGCTTCTCTGTCAACTACGGTCTTCAAATATTTAAATGCAACATCAATCGCCATTTTCTCTCTTTCTGATTCCTGTTCTTTCTTTTGTCTTTTCTCTCCCATTTTCCTCTCTAGACCCCCCTTGCATTTCAATAGTACTATGGCCTTGCATGGGTAAGTGACCGAGCGGATAGAACGTTCGATTTCAGACCCGGGTTCAAATCTCACCATGGTCACATTTTGTTAGGACTTTTTGATTTGATTTTATCAATCAACGATCCCAGTGGTGCCTTTGGAAAGTGCCTGGAAACCATAACACGAAGTCAAAAGTCATCGTGACTGAGGGTTTGAGTGTGATAGCTTTGTTCAGACTGCTGATCATGCTAGATAACACGCTCTCTCGCAGAAACTTTAAAGTGCGCTCAGAATAGTTGCAGTATAAAACACAGGTGTCGTCTGTGGGTATTGAAGAAACACGAATGTGCGTGAGCAGGCGTTTACAATAGGGATTAGCTAGCCGTCCTAGCATCATGGGAGATGAGTGGCTGTGCCATTTACGTTTATGTCGCTTTGCATAGCGTGAAACGATGACAAAGAATCACTTACTTAAATTGGCTTAATTTCCTTAGAATGTATGTATTATCCGTGGTTTTAGTCGCGATATAAAGTTCATTAATTCTTTATATATTTATAACTTTTTCAAAACTTAGTATTTTTTTTTTATATTAATATAAAATGATTGTTTTTTGCAGTATAAAAAAAAGAGTGAGATAAAAAAAAATATAAACTAAAAAAACTCCAAAGACGTATTGGGATAGCCAAACATGTATTCCAGAAGTTTTAAGTCACAGAAAAATTTCGTTAGAAACAAAGAAAAGATTATTGAACTGTTACATGATATCTGCCCCCCCCTATATGTCGGAGTATGGTGGACAATCTCCTCAAAGATGAAGGACGGACTTAAAGCAACAGAAATGTGGTTCAACAGTATGATGCTGAGGATACCATAGACCGAACATGTGAGCAACGACGAGGTTTTAGAGAAAATGGAAGCAAAATGGAAAAAATATATTTAGTATCAGGAAGGGGCAGTTGAAATTTCTAGGGCAAAAGAGAAAAGAGGGCTTAGGAAATATGATACTCGCAGGACAGATTGAGTGAAAAAAGAAACATGGATGGGAGAAGTAACAAAAAGACGAACTTATAAAGAACTATAAGGGACAGGAGAGATGGGGAGGCTAATGATCGTCTACGTTCTGAGGTTACTAAGGACGTATGAGTACAAGAAAAAAGAACATTCTTAAGAAGCGAGAATAATAAAATAAAAAGAGGAATTAAGAAGAAGCAAGATATTGATTGAGATTTTTAAAGATCTAACAGGACACTAAATCTAGAAGCCGGAAGCGAGTCTCACCCGTGAGAAATGCGAGAAAAGAAAGTATTTGCATAGAAATTACGGGTATATCTAGCCATTTCAACTGCAAACGTACATCATAATATATATATATATATATATATATATATTTTTGTGTGTGTGTGTGTGTGTGTGTGTGTGTGTGTGTGTATGTCTCTCTCTCTCTCTCTCTCTCTCTCTCTGTGTGTGTGTGTGTGTGTGTGTTATTCAAGAATAATATATTAATCCAGGATAATTTTCCAACTTATTCAAGATGATCTCCTCCCTCTCCAACCATCTAAGTTTATGTCTCGGAATAACAAGTTGCCTCAATCTATCAAGCACGATTTCATTTTCGCCGCTTAAGTACATCAGAAAAATTAGCATGAAAGTATTTAGGGAACAAGCATAGATAAAATAAAAATAAATCGACAAGATGAAAATCCATTTAATCCTTTAAACCGTGCGAGAGATCTGACAATACTCAAAATATATCTTGTCATTTTATTGTGTCTGTTTTTTTTTGTTTTTTTTTCGGAGAGTTAAACACTTTAATTGGTCTTTTATTAAATTAAGCATCGACAAACATTATTAAGCTTGATTATTATTTCTCCAATACTAAATTAATTTCGGTTCACAGCATATTTAATCCGATTGTCACTACGGATCGCAACTCCATAAAGAATTACACTCGAACTCTCATCCCGTATACTAAACGAATTCAT